AAGTGATTTGAGGCAACCCAGCCTCAAAATATCCATAAAGGGATAAGTCAGCTCTCACAGATGCCTGGGAAGTGGAAAAGCTGTTCATGGAGGTGGGGGAAACCACAGGGATCTGGGTCTGTCACTGCTCTGCAGCAAGGAAACCTCATCTGCTGTGGATGAGAAGATAAAGCAGAAACTCCAGTAGTGTGAAACCAAACCATCTATGTACAAAACTCCTGTCCAGGGTCACATCCCTCCGCTCGCTGCCTCAGGGAAGCCGGGCTGACTTATCCCTTTAATGGTGGCTCCTCATCTCCACGGCCAGAGTCAGGATATCTCATTGCCAAAGACCTCGAGCACCAGCGGCGTGAGCTGCATGCTGTGCTCGGGCTGCAAGGAGATGCAGCGGTACTGCTTGGAGTGCTCCTCATTCAGGCTCCGAAGGTCAGCCAGCTTCTGGATCATCTTAGCATAGAGCAAGCGACTGCCAGGAGGAGGATGCCGGCAGCGGATGTAGGTCTGGAGGATCTCCGAGAGACGATCCTGGAGGGATTCCACCAGTGAGGTGTCCTGCACGCCTGGGCGATCTAGGAAAAAACAGGGACACAGAGTGATTCCTTCCCTTTTCCCATCTGGCTGTGATGGAGAGACAGGAAGAGGTGACATTTTGGGGGACTGTCCTGGTTTCAATTGGGAGAGAGCTGATTTTCTTCTTAGTCGCTAGAATAGCACTGGGTTTAGGATTTAGTATGGGATTTGGTATGAGAAGAGTGTTGGGTGGGTGTTGGTCTCTTCTCTCAAGTCACTAGTGATAGGATGACAGAAAACAGCCTCAAGTTGCTCCAGTAAAGGTTTAGACTGGATATTAGGAAAAACTTATTTCCTGAAAGAGTGGTCAGGCATTGGCAGGGGTTGCCCAGGGCAGTGGTGGAGTCCTCATCCCTGGAGGTGTTCAAAAAACGTGTAGACCTGGCACTTCAGGACATGGTTTAGTGGGCATTGGGTTGATGGTTGGCATTGGGTTGATGGTTGAACTTGATGATCTTGGAGGTCTTTTCTAACCTTAATGATTCTGTGATAATTTACTGATGTTTTTAGTTGTTGCTAAGAAATCAAGGACTTTTCAATTTATGTTTCGCTAGTTTGGGACTGGGCTAGAAAGATTTCCACAAGCTGGGTAGGGTCCATAGCGAGAGCTATCCAAATTGGGATATTCCATTTTATATAACGTAATGTTCAGTATATAAATGAGGGTTGACTGGAAAGATGGGCTCTTGCTCTTCCAGGATTGTGGTTTTGGGATCTTTCTCCTCCTCTGGAATCACCAGCCGGGAACGAGCTGGGCCTTGGTTGGTGGCTGGTGAGTAATTGCATTGTGCATCACTTGTTTGTGTATTTATTATTATTATTATTATTATTAATAATAATAATCATTATCATTATCATTATCATTTTAACATTATAATTAATACTTCATTTTATTTCAATTATTAAATTGTTTTTATCTCAACCTTTAAGTCTCTTTACCCCTCCAATTCTATCCCCATTCCCCAGGGGTGGCAGAGAGCGAACAAGCGGCTGTGTGGTTTTGAGTGGCCTGCCAGATTAAACCACGACAAAGATACACAAAACCTGGCAGATTAGTGACCTTGAGGGATGACTGTCCTCCTACCTGGGGACAGGATGCAGATGGCCATGAGGAGCACGTGCTCTTCTTCATGAAGGTTCAGCTTCTTCAAGCCAATCTGGAATTTCACCAGTGGCTCGAGCAGATCCATGCTGTGACCAGCTGGGAAGAGAAAAGGACTTTTAGCACAGTCTGCTCTGGAATAAGATCTCCTACAGCTGAGGGATGAGTGTGGAGCTCAGCAGCTCCTCTTTTAATGCAGCGAAGAGCCAGGACAGTGGAACACAACTTTTGTTACAGCGTAAAACATGTTGGTTTTTAATTGTACTTTTAACCCCAGTTGTTTCTCTAAACTGACATTTCTTAGCCCGCAGCAAGCAGGACAGAGCCTGGCCACCTTTACCTTGGGTGACATCACTGATCCTGTACTTGAAGTCATTGCTGCCGCAGGTCCATGTCATGTCCTCGAGGGTGAAGGACTGGTTTGAGCGCAGCATGATCACCTCAATGGCACTGGATTTCAGCAGGGCAATCTGGTCCTCAGCTGCCAGGTCCCTGGGCAGAGGGAAAAGGGTGACGTGAGAGCTGTCCAGTGAGCAAAGGAACCTCCCACACTGTCCACACACTAGGTTCTCCATCGGGAACCCAGTCCGTTTGCTGGAGACACCCCAGCTTCTCCCTCACCCCAGGTTTCTACGTAATTAAGCCACAGGTATTTCTGCAGATATATTTACTGAGTGGCATCACCCGCTCAGCATCCTGGGCACCAGCCTGGAGTTAAACAGGACCTGAGGTCCTTCACAAACCAGGGTGGGACTGTTCACGTGGCCTCGAGCATCTTTCTTAGGAGCTCAAGCATTTTGCTGACAGAATTTGGGTGAATCAGGGTAAAATATGAGAGGAGTAACCCCCCAAAAAGGAGGAGAGTGAAAGTAGGAACAGACCTGGGAAAGGAACAGAGCCTGAGGGACAGCTGTGAAGATGAAACAGAGAAAAATGATCTGGTTGTGAAGGGTAGGATGGGATTCCCAAGAGTAGAAAACCACCACAGACATCAGATCTGGGAGCAAACATCTCACCTGAATCCTGGGATCATTTTGGCAAAGCCAATCACCTTCTGTATGCTGTAGCTGACCAGGTCGGCCAAATGTGGGAGCATGGAGAGGTGGGAGAAGTCGATGTTCACAGAGGAGCTCTCGTCATTCTCCTCAGAGAGGACCAGGTTTGAAAACATCTTTGGCTCCACAGATTCTGGAGAGAGGGAGATGGTCAGAGTGTATCTCAGTTGTAGGCAAGACATTATGGGTGAGGGGTGATGCCAGCTCGCAGCAGGAACAGCATCCATCCTGCCAGGAGGACTCTGCATTGCATTTAGAAAGCAGAACATGAGGAACAGGACGGGGAGAGCAGTTGTTCTTGATGCCAACAGCATCAAGATTTTTGCACTGGGACCTTTAACTCCTCTCCTGTGCTGTGATCAAGTCTAACTGCAGCCAGAGCAGCAAACACACAGCCCAACGTTCACATTCACACTCCTCTTGGCCATCTTGGAGGTCTTGGCCATCCACAGAAGTCTGCAGGACCACCATCCAGCCAAGCACTTCGTGCTTGTTGCTCACAAAAAACCTTTGCAACACCCCCAGGAGGTTCTTAAGCTCCCCAGAAAAAGTAAAACAAGGGTCTGAATGGCCAAATTTAGGTAAAGGTGCTGCATTTCTACCTCTGTCACCCATGGAGAGGCAAATGCGGTACCTGGAAACATGCTGAAGGCATCAGAGCTAAAGAGGTCAGTGGAGTCCTCCGACGACAAGTCCTGGGTGAGAATGGAGGAGGACCTCGCTGCTCCCCTGTTGCTGGGGTTGCTTCTCACCGGGGGCTGGAAGAGAGAGCAGGACATGAGAAACAGGGCTGGGAGAGGTTCTTGCGCTGGGATTTTTAACTCCTCTCTAGTGAGAGGTCATGGGATGAAACGAGTTTGGTGCATCTGGGTAGGAACCGCTTAGTCCTGCACATGGGAATTGGGGCCGGCATGTCCCAGACGTACCCGGAACCTGGTGAAGTCGGCGTACGTGGGGTCATAGGTCTTACGATGAGCCTCGAGAAGGATGTCGATGACTTTCTGCTGCTCCTCTGAGAGTTTGGGCTTCAGGCTCTCCTTGAGCGCTTCCTCCTCCTTGCGCTTCAATATCATCTCACGCTTCCTCTGAACCTCCTCGTCCGTCAGGATGACTGCAGGGAAAAAAGAGTCAGAAACAGGTGCAGGGAAACAGGGATTGAAGGAACCTCAGCACCCAGCAACATCCCTATCACCTTGTTAATCAATTATTAAACCTACATCAACCTCATCCTGCTCCTGTCCCTAGCTGCCGGGTCACAGCTTCCTGCTACGAGCCTAGCACAGTTTATAGCCCACTTGGGTGCTTTTAGAAAAGGGTTCAATAAGGTCATGTCAGCACTGCCACGTCTGCTCCACGCTGCAACCTTACTGTTTGCATTGTGCTTTCACCTAAGTGAAAGAAATCTTGATCCTGTAAGACTCAGGCCAGCGGGTTCATCTCGCTCCAGGGCCCGACAACAGAGGGAGCCCAACGCAGCATCGCTCAACCGTGCTGCAGCACTGATAGTCTGGGTATCCAGCAGCACTTCTGCAGCATCACAAGTATTTTTAAGCTAAAGGGGATGTATAAATATAACTTCATTCCCAGGGGTGGGTATTTATGACTTGTATTATGGGTGACAGCCTTTGGCAGTAGCCAAGAGTTGGACTCACAGAGCTTCTCCCATTTAATTAGGAAAAGGGAGCATCCATAGGTGATTTGGGCTCAAATCATAGAATCACCAAAAGGTTTGGGTTGTAAGGGACCTCAAAGCTTATCCAGTTCCAACCCCCCTGCCATCAGCAGGGACACCTTCCACTAGACCAGGTTGCTCAAAGCCTCATCCAACCTGGCCGAGAACACTTCCAGGGAGGAGCAGCCACAGCTTCTCTGGCCAACC